GCCATAAATCGTGAGACTTGAACTCAACATTTTAAACATATCATGGTGCATCAAGACTTGAACTTGATGTCTTACCCCTTATTGGTGCGATTAGAGATGAATCCATCGCCTTACCCTTTTTTGCGATTGAACATGAGTCCGTCGTCTTACTCTTTTAGTTTATGGGATAGATCGATTAGAATTGAACCCAAAAGTTTATCATGATAGTGCATCAAGGCTCTAATTGTGCAAAACTGAGATTGTTGATTTATTATAATCAACATTAGTATTTAATAGTTAAAGCTAAATAGAACACATACCTTCTATTCAAATACCTGTAAATAATTGGTGATTTGCCGTTAATAGCTTAACCAATTAGCTAAATATCTCATGATATCACCACAATTCCACAACTACAGATAAAGAATACCATTAAATATTCATAAAACAATATTTAAGCTAGATAAATCAAGTAAGAATAACAAAAGGATTATTAGACTCAATAATATCCAAACATAGGAGCAGTAATCTTAATGATTGATATGCCCTTCTCTTTTCCTTGAGAAGGTTTAGTTCATGTGCACGTCTTTCTCCTTTCTTTAGATGGTAGAGTCTCGTGTTGATAACGTGTTAAGAAACTATATAAAACAATGAGAAGAATAAATTAGGGAGAAGAGAGAAGAGTTCTTATTTTTCTTGAATGATATTTAGGGATCCATAGATCTGATTTACAATGAAGGAAAACCCTTTATTTATAGGGCAAACCTAACTTGGTCCCCAAGTAGGATTCCTAACCATATCCTAAAAGGACTCCACACATAATTAGACATTCACTATAATACAAATATGTTTATAACAATACATTTTATTTCCTAAAATATTGACATTTTCAATAATTATTTTAAAGTGTAAATGTTTTTAATAATTATGTTAGGGAGTTTGACTAATTTGCTAATTTAATTTAACTTTTCACATGACATGCTTAACAGTTAAAATCGTAAAATTAAAAAACATTTTAATACATTTAACATAACTTTGATTGGAAACCATAAAAAGTCTTCTTTATTTTTTAAAGGAAAAATCACCCCATATACACATTTAAGAGTCAATATTACAGGTTTTAAATCTACTTTTAAAAAATTCTTGCTTATAACAGTTTAATTACGGGTTATAACATATCACTAATTATTTATAAATTAATTAAATTTTACTTTATTAAATAAGTATTTTTTTATAATTTTATATTATTATTAAATTATTTAAATAAAGAATACCCCATAATTATCTCTTACACAATTATATGGATTTTACATTGATTACACTTCCTTATTTAATGTTATACTCACCCAACAAAATTATGTCTAAGTAACCCATTGAAACGCTTCAAAAGAGTCCCAAATTAGGTGAAGGAACATCTAATGATGATGTTCATGTTTCAAATTTTAATATATTAACTCAACCCC